AAACAACTTTAAAATAATTTCGCCCAATTTCGGCTAATAACAAAAAGTAGTTTGGGCTTATAAAAAAATAATTTTTGTCCAAAGTATTTGGGCAATTTCGGCTACTAATAGAAGCAGTTTCGATCAGAAACCTTATATCAGACATCAATAAAGGTGAAGCTTTTTTAATTAAATATGGTCATAAAGAATTGTATACAAATTTTGAAGAAAAGACAATGATTATCAACTTAATTATATCAACTATCAGGATATTGTGAGTAATTTTTATTTTATTTAATTGTCTTAATATTAAGGATTTTGATTCTGACAAATCATTATTATTAACCCTTTTTACAAATTAAATTATATATAGTATTAGATTATTTAGCATTGATAGTATGTATTTTAGTCGTGAATATCCTGAAATGCATTATTCTTCTTTACTTCATAACCCTATCTTTTTAAATTTGTTTGCATCACAGAATTGGCAATATATTATTGGACAGTAAGTGTCATCTATCTATATATATTTGAAATTTGTTACATAATTTATTTTTTATTATTTGGTGATAACGGTTGTGATCATTGCAACTCGTCACTATTCTAGTTGTTAAAAAGAATGGTGGTTATTACCACTTGTCGTCACTCTAGTTGGTTATTATATATTTGGCAGCTACATACTGCTAATGGTGAAAGAAGAAACGACAAAGATGATGATAAAACCCATTTATCATTAATTCCTGATTCAAAATTAATCAATAAAAAAATGAACAAAGAGATACTTGTGATTGAAAAAGCAAAAAAAACTTATGTAGAAGATCGTAGAAAATTCAAAACAGATAAAACAAAATTAGGGATTTTACTACATGACCAAATTACTTCCATTTATAAAGAATTACTACAAGAAGAAAAAGGTGATAATATTGATAAGTTGAAATCATTTGGCATTAAAGACTAGTGCCGTAATCCAAAAAAGGAAAAAGTATGGTTGCAAAAGTGGTCGCAAAGGTAATTGCAACCACT